ATCAGTGAAGCCAGCGCACTGATGGGAGGTTCTGGCACCTGGCTCTCCTCTCACTCCACGATCCAGCTGAGAGCAGCTTTGAACACACGCAGCTGTGAGCAGGCAGAGAATTTTTTTGTTGTTGTTACGATGATGGTAAATCATGTACAACACAACATGTGCTGTCGTCTCTGGTTTTCAAGGCACACAGTTCAAGAGCGTTCGGCACAGTCACCTCGTTGCACAATCCTACCCAGCATCCATCCCAAAGCACCTGTCGTCATTCCAAAGCAAACCTCTGCACGCCTGACACAGCAGCTCCCCTTCCCCCACTTTCCCAGGCCCTGGCACGCGCCCCTCTGCTTCCCGTCTGTGGGAGTCTGACTGCCCCAGGGACCCCAGCAGAGGGGCACCACACTGGCTAACTTCACTGCACACACCATCTTCTTCTTCTTTTTTTTTTTTTTTTTGGACAGGCAGAGTGGACAGTGAGAGAGAGACAGAGAGAAAGGTCTTCCTTTTGCCGTTGGTTCACCCTCCAATGGCCGCCGCAGCCGGCGCACCGCGCTGATCCGATGGCAGGAGCCAGGAGCCAGGTGCTTTTCCTGGTCTCCCATGGGGTGCAGGGCCCAAGCACCTGGGCCATCCTCCACTGCACTCCCTGGCCACAGCAGAGGGCTGGCCTGGAAGAGGGGCAACCGGGACAGAATCCAGCGCCCCGACCGGGACTAGAACCCGGTGTGCCAGCGCTGCAAGGCGGAGGATTAGCCTAGTGAGCCGCGGCGCCGGCCACACACCATCTTCAAACGCATCCTTTATCCCTGTGGGGATACTGTCACGGGTACCAGGAGTCCCTTCTTTCCAGGGCTCAATACTATTCCCTTTTTATAACATATTTATTTGAGAAGCAGAGCTACAGAGAGAGAGAGAGACACACACACACACAGAGCATCTTCTATCCACTGGTTCATTCCTCAAACGACAATAGCCAGGTCTGAGCCAGGTAGAAGCCAGGAGCCTAGAACTCCACTCAGGTCTCCCACAGGGGGTGCAGGGGCTCAAGCACTTGTACCATCTCCCACTACTTTCCCCAGGCCATTTGCAGGGAGCTGGATGGGAAGTGGAGCAGCCGGGACTCAAACCAGCGCCTGTACAGGATGCCGGTGTCCCGGGTGGTGGCTGAACCCGTTGCACCACAAGCCCGGCGCCGCTGCTCTCACTCCCTGTGGGTGTATTTACCCAGAAGTGGAACTGCTGAGCACACAGACATTTTAATAGAAGTAGAAACTAGGCCACTGGAAAAAGTCCTCTGGCTCCTGTTCCTTGATGTCAGCCCCTGCCTGCAGGAAGGGCAGCCTGTGCTCCAGGAAACGCAGAGAACACAGCGGCGTCGAACCCCCGGAGAACACAGGTCCCAGCTGGGAGCGGCTTCAATCCACCAAGCCCAAAGCTTTTGTTTTGTGGGTGAAGACTCTGTGTGGCCTGCAAGTCACTGCTTCATCCTTGTCCCGGATGCTGGCCCCAGGGTCCAGCTGCTGGACCTGCGCCCTGAGGCGTAACAGGGGCTCCCTCCACACGCAGCTGTCTGAGATCCTGGTTAGGCGGCAGCAGTGGGCAAGGCTGGGGCAGGTGCAGCTCCACCCTTCCTGGCTGCCCGGCACAGCCAGCAGAAACCAACTCTGCTTCCGGCTAATGCACCACGGGAGGCGGTGGTGATGGCTCCAGTACTTGGGTACCTGCTGCTTCTCCATGTGGGAGACCCAGTGGAGTTCCTGGCTCCTGGCTTTAGCCTGGTCCAGTCCTGGCTGCTGCAGCCAATCGGGGGGATGAAGCAGCAGGTAGAATTCTCCGCCAGGTAGTGTTTGGGTCACTACTAGAACAGGCCGAGCACACAGCAGATTCTCAACAATTGTTTGTTCAGTGAAAGAATGAGATGCTCTGGGCTCTTGTTCAAAGAAACAGGCCAGGGCCGGCGCCATGCCGCAGCAGGTTAAGCCTCCCCCCTTTTTTTTTTTTTTTAGTTGCATAAATCTTTATGAGAATGCGGAACAAGAAGCAGGATCCCTTAAAGAGATGTTTCCCATTTTTCAGTTCAGTGTTGGATTAATATGTCGTAAACGAGATCCAGGAGCTCTTCTTCGTATTTCTCCTCAGAGCTCAGCACTGGCATCTCATACAGGCACAGGTTCAAGTCTGGCTGCTCCACTTCCAATCCAGCTCTCTGCCAATGCACCTGGGAAAGCAGCAGAAGATGGCCCAAGTGCTTGGGCCCCTGAACCCATGTGGGAGACCAGGAAGAAGCTCCTGGCTCCTGGCTTCATTCTGGCCCATTGCAGCCATTTAGGGAGTGAACCAGTGGATGGAAGACCTCTCTCTGTCTCTCCCTCTTTCTATCTGTAACTTCCTATCATATAAGTAAACAGGCCGGCACCGCGGCTCACTAGGCTAATCCTCCGCCTTGCGGCGCTGGCACACCGGGTTCTAGTCCCGGTTGGGGCGCCGGATTCTCTCCCGGTTGCCCCTCTTCCAGGCCAGCTCTCTGCTGTGGCCAGGGAGTGCAGTGGAGGATGGCCCAAGTACTTGGGCCCTGCACCCCATGGGAGACCCAGGAGAAAGTACCTTGGCTCCTGCCATCGGGATCAGCACAGTGCGCCGGGCACAAGTGCCGCTGGGCGCGGGCGGCCATTGGAGGGTGAACCCAACGCCAAAGGAAGACCTTTCTCTCCTGTCTCTTCTCACTGTCCACTCTGCCTGTCAATAAAAAAAAAAAAAGTAAACAAATCTTAAAAAAAAGAAAAGAAAAGCCCTTAGGATCCATTTCTGCTTTTACCATTCCTGTGGGGACCTGGCTCATCACCCTGTCTCCTGCCCCGCCCCCATGTGTCCCTGTCCTCAACATTCCCCTCCATGAAGACAGCTGGGGTCCCACAGGGATCAGATGGCAAGTGCAAGGTGGGAAGGGGGCTCGCTTCCCCGGGGAGCTGCTTACAGAGCTATGGCCGACAGCAGCCAAGCTGTTCTCACCTGTGGCTGGGGGTGGTGGGGGAGGGAGGGGTCACCAGAGCCTGGGAGGGAAGGAAGCGGGTACAGAGGGGTGACCTTCGGTCCAGACACACAGCCTCTGGCAACTTGACCTTGAAGGAATAAGAAGCTGAGGATAGGGAGCAGATAAGAATGGGAGACCTCACAGTTCTCTCTTGCCTCTGATCTCATGCTAGGGCTCAACCCAGCCAGCAGAGGGAGGGCAGAGATGGACCACGGCCCGAGGAAAGGTGGAGAGGAGACCTGAAGTAGCAAAGGGGAGGTATCTGGCATCTGTGAGAGTCCTTCCCTTTTTGCTTTGCCTGCCAGGAAGCTCTGAGCCAAGTAAGAGTTCCCCAGAGCAAGTATGTCAGCCCCTGAGTTCTTCTGTCTCTGGTTGTCACTTCCTAGCACCCCTTTTCCTTTGGGTGGCAGCCCCAAGTTCCCTGCTCATCCCCCAGGCGAGCTCAAGTTCAAGAAATTAACTTCACCTCCAGTGGGGAAAGTACCTCATGCGTCCCATTCTAGCCAAGGAGGACCCCTGCAGCCTTGGTCCCGGGAACTCTTGTCTATCCGCTGATCTAGTTGATCTCACCCAACTGTAAGTTGTTAAATATTTACCCAGGAAGCACTCCCGACATTTCCATCTCCACCCCTTACTGGCAACCTCGACCCTGAACCTCGGGCTCCTGCAATGACTACTTTGCACCGTCCTCACCTGGGCACCTAAGAGCGATGCACACCCGATGCCTACAAGACCACTACTCTCAGCATTCCACGCCCAAAGCTGCTTGGCTGGCAGCTCCTCCACCCATCCGTGCACTTGGCCTGGCACCCCCAAGGCAACCTGGAGGCTGTCCTCGAAGCTCAGGCCCAGGGCAGCTCCCGTCAGTCCTGGCCGGAGCTCCCTGCCTCCTACCCCAACTGCAGCCCCCAGCTAGGGCCCACCAGCCCCTGACACCAGAGTTACTGCCTCAGCTCCCCCGCCCCCGGCCTGGGTTCCCTGCTTGTCCCCTTGTCCCCCTCATTGCACACTCGGCAGCCCGAGGGGTCCTGTTACAGCACAAGGCACGTGCTTTACGCCTTTGCCCTGGAGCCCCCAAGGTCTCACCGAGGGCACAAGCCAAGGCCTGGGGCGGCGCTGTGGCATACTGGTAGAGCCGCCGCCATCCCATATGGGCGCCGGTTCAAGTCCTGGCTGCTCCACTTCCGATCCAGCTCTCTGCTATGGCCTGGAGAAAGCAGTAGAAGATGGCCCAAGTGCTTGGGCCCCTGCACCCACGTGGGAGACCGGGAAGAAGCTCCTGGTTTCTGGCTTTGGATCGGCACAGCTCTGGCCATTTGGGGAGTGAACTGGCAGATGGAAGACCTCTCTCCCTCTCTCAAATAAATAAATAAATTTTATTAAAAAAAAAAAAAAAGCCAAGGCCTAAGCACGGCCTCTCCTGCCTTCTGCTCCACCCCTGGCCTCCCCTCCTCTCACTCCCTCGCTCGCTGTCTTCCTTGGAGCTTTCTCCCATCTCACCACAGGACCTTTGCACTTGCTGTTCTTGCTGCCCAGGAGCCTGTGTGGCTGACCCCTGCAAGGCCCCTTTTGTTTCAAGTCTCTGCTCAAATGCCACCCGTTTCGGCGAGGCCTCCCCCCACACGCCACCTCCCCGATTCTCCTGCTTTGCATTTCTCTGCAGCACTTGGTTCGCCTGACAAGCTTATTTCTCGTTTCCCTTGGGTCTGTCTCCCTCTACGTGAGAACATGCGCTCTAGAACCCACTTTACACGGAAACACCGGAGCCTTGCTCCGTGCCTAGCACACGCACAGCAAATAGTTAATGAATGAATGAGTGGATATGGGGCTACAGTGATCGGTTTCAAAACACATGCAATCCGTGCAGAGTCAGACAAAATGAAGCTTGGACAGAAGGCACAGGATCCTGCCTCTTGCCCTTGGTTCGCCCTGGAGAGCTGCAGACTGACTGTCCCCTCCACCTCGTACTCCACAGGGCCAGCTGGTCTGAGCGTGGCCCGTGCAGCAGGAAGCTGAGCAGAGAGGCTGGGTGTGGCCCAACGCTGATGACATCATCTGAGCCCTGGACAGACCCAGCCGTCCTGAGATCCAAGCCCAGTGGGTGCTGGTGAGAGCAGTGTACATGGCTCCGAGGTAAGCAGCCCCTGCCTCCACCCCTCCCCCATGGCCTAGATGCTGTCACCAAGGCCCATGTGATGGAACTCAGAGCTGGGAGAGGTGCAGTCCTCCAGACACTACCGCCCGTGCGCCAGGCCTGTCCACGAGACCCACACTTTTAGCTTACGTTAGCTCCTTTTGAGCTTTCTGTCACCAAAATAGCAGGTGACAGATGCTGATAAAATACTAACACCAACCAAAGCGACATCGCCTACGGTGACAAGCCCTACAGAGACAGGAGAAGGGCAGAGCTGGCCCAAGCAGCTTTAAATGGAGGCCTCTTGGGGGAAGGGACCCTGTTACATCCAAAGCCTGGTGAGACAGGTGCACAGAGCCTGGGGTTGGGGAGGGGCTGGTTCGAGAGGAAGTGGGAGTGCAGCCAGCCAGGGGGGCTGGGGGCAACAGCAGATACTGAGACTTTTATCATAGAGAGCATTGGAGTGCTGTGGGCTAGACAGGGTGTGGTGGGTTGGAGAACAGACTGGCGGTGGTGTGGGTTGAACTGTGCCGCACCTGCTAAGGATAGGTCTACCCAGAGTCCTAATTACATCTGCAAAGACACTGATTGGGCATGAATTAAGGTGAGGACCTGGCAGTGAGCTCATCCCAGCCCAGGCTGAGCCCTCCATCTGCTGACAGGTGACCTCAAGAGAGGCAAAAAAGGAGAAGACATGCAGAGACACAGAGAGAAGGACCAGGACCAGGACAGCCAGCGGTCCCCCGACACTGGAAGACAGGGCAGCGATGGGTTCCCCCTGAGAGCTTCCTGGGCAGGTGCAACCCTGCTGGCTCTCGGCTTTCAGACTTCAGCCTGCAGAGCTGGGGGCGACGGACTCTCTGCTGCCCCAAGCCCCCAGCCCCCAGCCCCCAGTGACAGCGCCCCCTGGGAAAGGGATCACAGGAGTTGTTTCTGTGGGCAGTGATAGGCTAGGGGAGCGAGGGTGGCGAGGATGAGACACGAGATGTGAGGAGCTCCCCAGGCGCTGCCACACCCCGCTCAGGTGACACCCAGGTGGGAACTCACGTAGCCACCACATGGATTGCACGAGCCGGCACCTGCCACCAAAGCTGGTTCTGTGCAGTAAACATCCACCTACGACAAAGAGAAACACCCAGAATACCCGTGTGTACAGATTGTACAAACCCACCGCCTTCCAGGAAGATTAAAGGACCACCTGCAGCCAGTGTCATGGCGCACCAAGTAAAGCCAGCACCTGTGACACCAGCATCCCATATGGGCGCAGGTTTGAGTCCTGGCTGCTCCACTTCTGATCCGGTTCCCTGCTGATGCACCTGGGAAAGCAGCAAAAAGGTGGCCCAAGCCAGGCTCCTGGCCCCCTGGTCTGGCTCAGGTCCAGCCATTGTGAACACTGGGGAAGCAAACCAGCAGACAGCAGATCCTGCAAAGGCCACGTGTAGGGGGCTCGGTCCCCAGAGTCTTCTGTCAATGGTTAGTAGATTAAGGGTAGAGATTTCATCCAATCACGGTGTTTCGAAGGTGCAAGGGCCACTGGGGGCTTGACCTCTGGAGGGCGTTCTCCTGAGAGGGTGGTTGTATTAGCAGAATCAACCTCTGTCCCTCTCTCTGTCCCTCTCTCTGTCCCTCCCTCTCTCCCTCCCTCCCTCTCTCCCTGCCTCTCTCCCTCTGCTTCCTGGCTCACACACGATTATCCCTCTGCCATTCACCGCCCTCGTCAGACTCCCACCCCACTGGGGCACTCCATTTTGGACTGTGGACCTCCCAGGCTGCAGGATGAAACCAACCTTCCTCCTTCCCAAGTCGATCCGTTAGGTAGGAAGTTAGAGATCAGCCTGTGTGTGTGAGAGGGGCCTAAGAAAAACACAAGTTTTCTAACAGCCTCAGAAGCGACCCGCGATTTCACACTGCAAAGTCCTGAGAACTTTCCAGGTGGTCAGCCTCCCCATAAGGAAAGCTCCCCTGGACAACCCTCTCCGCTCAGCCCCAATGGGATTCCTGGCCTGAGAACGCGGAGCAGTAAAACCTTTGCCTCCTTCCTCCAAGGCGGGCACCCTAGGGGAGGCTCCTGTGCCCGGCCCAGGTGGCCCCCAGTCTGGCAGCCCTGAGTAGTGAGCCCTGGGGAGGAATCGGACCAGTGCACACTCAGCAAACCCTTTGTCCTGGGGGGGGGCAGGGAGGAACTGGACCCCATTTCCCTAGGAGCCCCAGCCTGAGGTCAGCCCTTGGCTCTCTGCTGAGCTGCCCGCCTGGCCTGCCAGGGGCACTCTCTCCATTTAACCACAGAACCCTGAGGGACTGGGCACTCTCCCTCTCAGATTCTGTCCCATCCATTCTGACGGATGCCCCACCCCGATGAGTCTTGCTACCTTGCTGGCCACACACAGCTCTCTCACATCTGAATTTTCTTGCACAAAGACAAGAACCTACCCCACCCATCGCCACACACAAACAGCTCCTTCCAGGTGTTCAAGCTGCAGTGTGAGAAACCGAGACAGGCCACAAAGACAGAGAACTAAAAAAATGGAAAATATCTTAAAATGTTTAAAGTAGCCCCAATACCGCCAACAGCAAAGTAATCAACAGCTCCTTCCTGTCTTCCAACACCCAGGTCTGCTAAGGATGGCGCACAAAAGACCTACACAGCTGGACGAAGCCTGCTCCTGGAGCCAGCAGCAGAGAGGGAGCAGAGGAGGCCAGGAGGCTGGGGAGGAGGCGGGGGTGTCCCCCCAGAGGGCACGGTGGGAGGGGCAGGTGGGAGAGGCAGTGAGAGGCCCAGTCCCGTCCCAGGCAGTGGAAATAGGATGGCAGAGGTCTCGGCACAGAAAGGCACATTAGCAGGGAGCTGGATCGGAAGTAGAGCCACCGGGACTCAAACACATGCCCACATGGGATGCCAGCATCCTACGGCGTGGCTAAACCTGCTGTGCCATGAAGTGGGCCCCAATCAACCAACCTCAACAGCACTCACAGTGAGCTAGAAATCCCAGGATGCCCAGGCTTCTCTAAAGTTCCAGACTTTTCCAGAGTGCCAAGGCTGGTGCACCTGCACCCTCCTGCCCCCAACCCTGGCTCAGAGTTCCTCTGCTTGGCAATGCCTTCCTACCCGCCCCCCTCCCCCCGGGGGGGAAGCCCCCTCCTCTCTCCTGGTCCAGGGTTTAATTGTGATCGAAGGGCTGGGAAAACCCGAAAGCGGCATATGACCCGGATCTGTTCTGTTCTCTGAGGCTCTGACTTCCGGGAGCTCTGTGAGGGACAGCTCCTCCCAGGTGTGGCCAATTCCTAGGGGGTCCTAAACAGCCTGCCCATTGGAGCAAATGCCCCAGTCCAGAGCCCACACCCCAGCCATGTTCCGGATGCAGCTGTCACATGCTGGCCACCGTCCACCTGCCCTACACAGCCCCGAGCCGGGTACCAGACAATAGAGACAGCGCCCAGAGCCAAGCCACACCTGCCTACCCCGCCTCACCCGTTTTCCTCAGCTGTGTTTTCGGGGGCGCCTCTCCTGCTCAGCTGGCCTCCCACATCTCACCACCACTGCAGCTCCGCTGTGTTTGCCAGCACAGGGCTTTTGAGCTGGAGCGTGTACTGGGCGCTGGCGGTTCACCTGTTTTTGGAACTCGTTTTGGGGTGGCTGGCAAAACCCTCCTCCGCGCAGGTGCAGCGCCTTGCCTGGAAGTGGGTGGGAGGGAGACCATTCTGTGCCCATAACGAGAGAAATGCTGGCGATTCGGACGTGGAGTTGCAATGACCACCGCCTTCTTCCCGTGTGAACCCCAGCTCCGCCCCCTCACGCCGGGCAACTTGGGCAGGTCCCTTGACTTCTCTAGGACTCCGCTTCTTCACCAGTGATCCGGGATGGTTGGGAGCCATCTCTTCGGATCACAGAGTGGGCTGAATGCGATCATGAGTGAATGCTTCCACCAGTTCACGTTCAGTAAGTGGAGAAACCACAGGTGCGGGAGCTCTGGTTGCTGGCGTTTCAACACCCAGGTGTCATCGGTCTCTTAGAGACACCAGCCTGAGCCCCAAGGCCTGAGCTTGGAGAAGACTGTGGATTCCTGGCTGGGGAAGCTGGCGCTGTCACCATCTTGAGCTCCCCAGGGCTGGCCACCCAGCTCTGCCTTTTGGGGTGAGCAGAGCTGTCACTAACACGGTTGCTGCCAAGGACCCCTACTTACAGCAAATTGAGCTAGAACTAAAAACGGAGTAAGGGGCCGGCGCCGTGGGTCCTCCATCTGTGGCACCGGCATCCCATATGGGCACCAGTTCTAGTCCTGGCTGCTCCTCTTCCAATCCAGCTTCCTGCTAATGCACCTGGGAAAGCAGTGGAAGATGGCCCAAGTGCTTGGGCTCCCACACCCATGCGGGAGACCAGGAAGAAGCACCTGACTCCTGGCTTTGGATCAGCACAGCTCCGGCTGTTGCAGCTATCTGGCGAGTGAACCAGCGGATGGAAGACCTCTCTCTCTGTCTCTCCCTCTCACTGTCTGTAACTCTACCTCTCAAATAAATAAATAAATAAATCTTAAAAAAAATGGAGTGAACCAGAGAGGGTGCCAGCGAGTCTGCATCCATCACTCTGTCCAGCTCCTGGGGCTGAAGATGGTTTCCCCTCTTCTCCCCCAACTGTCTTCCTTTGGTTCTCTAATTACCACACACAGACTCTCATCTGGGAAGCTCCCCTGGCTAAGACACCCCATGAGCCCATGGATGCCAGGGCAATGGGAACACCCTGCGTGCGGCTGCCACCAGACCCCCAGATGTTTCTGGGGCACTCAGTGTCGCCCCTTGCGTGTTTCCTGTTCCCCTTCTCCTTAGGGCCTAGAGCAGCCTCCAGGTCTCCAAGGACAGCTTGATGCTAACCATCCTCAGAGTTCCAGTCCAGTGTCATTTTCAGCTCATATGTGAAATGTTTTGCTGATAGAGACGTCTGCCGAATTAGTATTTTTAAATCGAAGGACACGCCTAATGTTTACATCAGTATTACTGAAAACTGTTTTGTCTTACAGAGAAGAGGTCTGAAAAAAAAATCCATCTGGTGTCATATGAGGGTACTTGAAAAAGCCAGGGGGGGGGGGCTGGCACTGTGGCGTAGCAGGTAAATCCACTGCCTGCAGTGCTGGCGTCCCATATGGGCGCCAGTTCAAGTCCTGGCTGCTCCACTTCCGATCCAGCTCTCTGCTGTGGCCTGGGAAAGCAGAAGAAGATGGCCCAAGTCCTTGGGCTCCTGCACCCACGTGGGAGACCTGAAGGAAGCTCCTGGCTCCTGGCTTCGGATCAGCACAGCTTCGGCTGTTGAGGCCAGTTGGGGAGTGAACAAGCAGATGGAAGACTCTCTCTCTCTCTCTCTGCCTCTCCTTCTCTGTGTAACTCTGACTTTCAAATACATAAATAAATCTTTTTAAAAAATGGTGGTGGAGAGTGGGTGTTTAGCCTAGCAGTTAGGACCCCTGTGTATCAGAGTGCCTGAGTTTGCTTGATCCCCACTTCCCACTCCTACTAATGCAGCCCCTGGGCGGCAGCGTCGATGGAAGTGAATGAGTTCCTGCCACGCGTGTGGGGGTTCCCGGATTGTGTTCCTGGCTCCCAGCTTCAGCCCAGGTCCAGCCCTGGCTATGAAGGGCATTTGAGGAGTGAACCAGTGGTTAGGAGTCCCCTACCCTGTCTCTTCCCTTCCTGTCTCTCTCTCTCTCAAAAAAAAAAAAAAAAAAAAAAAAAAAGTTGATGGGAAAATGGAACTAAGATAAATTTATTTTGGGCTGGGACCATGCCGTTCAGTGCAAGCCACTAGGGAAGAAAACCATGAGCTGATGGGTGCACACTGGGGAGAAGGGAGGGGATGTGGGGAGAGGGAACCCAGAGACATTTTGGAGTGATAAATGGCGGGTTTCCTGGCTTGTGGATTTCACCTCAGTAACCAACAAGAACAAACCCACCTGGGCTGCTGTGAGCGAGAGCAGAGAGAGACACACCTCCAGTGCTGACCGTGGACGAGAGGCAAGGCCAGACGTGTCCTGATTGCACTCTGTGGCTTGGGGAAACTGAGGCAGCTCACTGGAAGCCGGGGCTCCCACGTGATTGGTTGGGGGAGCATAACTGACTTTTCCCTCTTGGAAGCCAGTTGGAAGCGGGCGGCCGAAGGAGAGAAGCTGGCCGTCACTGACTGCACCCTGGCCACATAGGGCCAGTGGCTGTGGAGGTGGGTGTCAGGCTCCCTAGCTGGTTGCTGCAGGCGTAGGCCAGGATTCTACTGTCCTATGGGGCAGAAATTTGTCATGGAAAATATGTATCGTGGAAGTAAAATAGCACGGATTTCAAATGCTTTGCACTGTTAATCCCATGCTTCCGCGAACTCTTTGAAGTCCCGGGGAATGCTCTGGCCATTGTCCCTTTGTCTGCACAGTGTCACAAAGGGAGGTTGGGGCAGTAAACACACCTGTCCCCAGCCAGTGCTGTGTGCACCACGAAGGCAGGTGGCACACAGGAGTGGCTCCCCTGTGCCTGGGAGCGTGGGTTCTGAGCGCCAACCCCACAGCCCTATGCTTATCACCTGCCAGTCCCGGCAGACGCCCGTGACCTATAGCCGGCGGCACTGCACAGCACAGCACAGCCCTTCCTGAGTGCCTGCGGCTCTGTGCCTCCCCCTCTGCCTGCCCCTTCCTTCTTCCCTGCTCCCTTTACTCCCAGTGCCTTTTCTATATCTTCCCTCCCCCCCACCCCCTCCCCCAGCACCAGCCTGCTGCAGGTCCCTCGGTCTCCATAATTGTCCCCACTAGGTGGCCTGGGGCTGGTGCTTGGCTTCCTGCATCAGGAACATTGCTTGGGAAGCAGTCGCCTGGGAGTTCTGGCGGGGGTGGGGATGGAGGTGTGTGGGGGCAGGGGAAGGGGCTCTAAGAATTCCTGTGTCCCCCCCAGGGAGGGCTGCAAGATGGGCTGACCCTGTGTCTGCCAGGTAAGCGATGCCAATGTCCCTTAATAGGACCAGAAACCCAGGGCCCTTGATTTGACTCCTGCAGAGCCCAAAAGTCCTCCGTGGAAGCGAAACCCATCAGACAGGCCAAGCCCCTTACTTAGGGGAGTGGAATGCTGGGAACATTCTCCTCTTTTGCCCTTGGCCCGCAGATAACGGCTCCTGGACTCAGGTCTTGAAGAAAGCTCAGGTGAGATCCTTGCTGGGGGGCAGGAGCCGAGAACCAAGTCCTAGTCAATTCTGAGAGGCTCCCCAACACCCCGTGGTAGGTAATGGGGTGCGAGGGCAGCCTGAGTCCCAGTTCCGAGCCTGGGCCTGGCCACAGCCCTCCTTCATCTCCTGGGCCCCCCAGTCCTTGCCTGGAGTCCTCCGTGGTTGTCACCCTGCAGCCAATAGCTGGTGTCCTTGCAAAAAGAAGAGAGGACACAGAGACCCAAGGGGGAAGTCCACACGGAGATGGCAGTGATGCTGGGAGCCCCCGGGGGGCTGCAAGAGGCCGGAAGGCTCCTCCCCTGGATCCTTGGGAGGGAGCAGGACCCTGGAGGCCTGCTGAATGACAGGGCGCCTTGCCGATGTTCTGCACACCACCTTGTGACCACAGCAGCCACAGGAAGCCCACACTGTCCCCCCCAAACTCCCCTCCACAGAATCTGCTCCCTGGGGCCCAGCCCCCACCCGCCTCTCCTTCCCCCTCATGCTGGACTCCATCCACCATCATTTCTTTGAAGCTTTTATTTCCAGAAACTTCTGTTCCAGGAGCACCTGCCAAGCTTGTTCTAGCCTCGTGCCAGAGTAATTGATCCCTCTCCCTGGACGCACTTTCTCTGGATCACCGGGTCCCAAGTTTAGCCCCCTGGCAGGGGGTGGGCACGCAGCAATGTCTGGGGGGCACTGGGGTTCAGGGAGCAGGGAGGGAGGCTGCCTGAGGCCAGGGGTGCCGACTGTTGTCTCACAGTGCATGGGATGCCCTACCACCACCACCACCACACACAAAGAGCTACCCTGCCCAGCCTTGACTGTGGCAGCATTTGTGTTGTGAACCAGCAGATGAAGGACCTCTCTCTCCCTCTCTCCTGTCTCCTCCTGTCTCTGCATAACTCCACGTTTCCTTCCTTCCTTCCTTCCTTCCTTCCTTCCTTCCTTCCTTCCTTCCTTCCTTCCTTTTCTTTCCTTTCTTTCTTTCTATTTTTCCCAAAGATTTCTTTATTTATTTGAAAGGCAGAGTTACAGAGAGGTTGCCACAGAGGCAGAGAGAGAGAGCGTGAGAGCGAGGTCTTCCATCCACTGGTTCACTCCACCAATGGCCACAATGGCCAGTGCTGAGTCAGGCCGAAGCCATGAGCCAGGAGCTTCCTCCGTGTTTCGCATGAGGGTGCAGGGGCTCAAGCACGTGGGCCATCTTCCTCTGCTTTTCTCAGACCATTAGCAGGGAGCTGGATCAGAAGTGGAGCAGCCGGAACTCAAAACGGTACCCATATGGGATGCCAGCACTGCAGGCTGCGGCTTAACCCACTTATGCCACAGCACCAGCCACATAACTCTAATACATAAATAAAATAAATCTTTTTAAAAAAGTTGAGGCCATTAGGATGGACCTTAACCCAATATGTCTGATGTCCCCCTAAGAGGTAACCAAGACACAGGCTGTGAGAGAGTGGGGACCATGTGGGGACACAGGGAAGGGACCGCTCTCTGCAAGCCAAGGAGAGGCCCGGGAGGGGCCAGCCCTGCCCACGTCCTCATCTTAGACTCTGCTGTTTGTGCCGCCCCGGCTGAGGCTGGGTTAAGGCAGCTGGGGCAGACTCACTCAGGGACCCCACGTGGTGCCTCATGGGTGGGCGGGTGACCCAGTGTTCCCAAGGTCCACCTTTGCTGGGGTTCGGACACAGCTGGAGTGGGTCCCCAAGGGCTCGTGAGCTGGAAGCGTGGTGCCCAGCGTGGCGGTGCTGGGTCCCAGGTGGTAGAGCAGAGATGGGTGGGTCATGGAGTTTGTTGCCCTCCACCAGGGTTAATGCAGTCCTTGTGGTGCCCCAGTGGAGGGGCTGTCACACAAAGACTGCCCCTCCCTGACCTCTGGCCTCCAGCTGTCCTGCTGTGGCGCAGCCCTGGGACCCTCAGCAGAGGCTGAACAGAAGGGGCTCCCCAGTCCTGGACTTCAGCCCCACAGTTGTGAGCTACATAAACCTATTTATTTATTGTTTTTATTTATTTGTGTGAAAGAGTTACAGAGAGAGAGAGAGGGAGAGACAGAGACAGAGACAGATCTTCTATCTGCTGGTTCACTCCCCAGATGGCCTCATCGGCCAAGGATTGGGCGGGCCAAAGCTAGGAACCAGGAGCTTCTTCCAGGTCTCCCATGTGGGTGCAGGGGCCCAAGCATCTTCTGCTGCTTTCCCAGGCCATAGAGGAAAACAAACTGGAGAAACATTTTATAAGAGAGCCAGCATATGGCAACACAAACTGGCAGGTGACAAAGCCCTCCTCAGCTCCCAGGGTCCCCATAAAGACACACACCTGTCACACACACCCAGGGCAGTCCTGGGACCGCAGGAGGTGCCACCTCGCTGGTTGTGGTCAAGGCTATGGCTGAGGTTTAACACAAACAGCTTCTGGAAGAAGGACATAGTACCAGCAGAATGAGACGCTGTCTCTTATATTTAAGTAGCATGTCTCAGTCTCACACCCGGGGACCTGCCCCGCATACTGGGACACTGCTTTATCCGAGCCCCATGGGACTTGGTTGCCATGGATACAGCCGGGCGGGGGGGCGGGGCCAAGCCGGATCCCGGAGGTGGGTGTCTGACACCCCAGCTCCCTGCACCTGCCTGGTCTCATCCCCACATCCCTGTGCGCGCCAACGCTGTCGCCCCACCCCCACACCCCAAGGGCTTCTGCTTGCCTCATCTTTAAAAAAAGCACGAGACTGGGGTGAGGGGAGTGAGTTGGAAAACAAAGAGAGCTTTTGGTAAAATCATCCAAACGGAAAGCCGTAGGGGCTGGTGTACCCTCCACCTGGAATGAGTCTATGTCCATTTTTCCTGCTTTACCTGTCTCCGATCTCGTCCTAAGAAAGCCCCTTGCTTCCCTCTCGGACCACATTCTCCCGTCCCCCACAGCTGCTCCGGGGCATTCTTTTTTGTGTGTGTGTTCCGTCTCCAACGTCTTTCGCTGCTATCACGCTTTTGAGACTTACTCTTGATCGGGTTAGCTTAATTTGCCTTACAGAAGTCCTCTGTGTTAATATCTCCATTTTCCTTTAAAAAATAAGGTCATTGATTTTTTTTTTTTTTTTTTTGCAGTGATCAGCATCTTCCAGTCTTGCAGTCCATGCACCATGTAAAACACCCTCCCTGGAATACAGCCAGAAACTTGATTTCTGGACTGGATGGTGTGGGCAGCCTCACTG